ACTTTCCTTCTAATACTAACTATAGTAGCTCTCTCATTGTTCCGTTTGTCCTTTTCTTACGTGCAGTGGCCCTAAGGGCCTCGCTCCACTCATCACCATGTGCACAAAAGACAAAACATATGGCGACGTATGGTTCCAGTTTGATTCATTCTAGTTTTCCACATTTGGTGAGTGGTGAAGTGACGCCATGAAAATCGTATTGAGGTTCTTTTCTGTATACACGCTGAAACACGGACCTGAATTCAAAGCTACACCATATATAGCTGGCCTCCTATTGCCATCCTACAATCCCAGTGATTACACTTTTCTTGCTGAGGAGACCCTTGCTAATTTTTGGCAGGGGCCTTATGAAGTACCAGCAGGAGTTTTCTGAATAATGTGAGAAGGTTCTTCTCTCTCCCTCCCTCTCTCTCTCTCTCTCTCTCTCTCTCTCTCTCTCTCTCTCTCTCTCTCTCTCTCTCTCTCTCTCTCGTGAGTCATGAGAGGGTTCTTTTCTGTATACACGCACGCGCACGCGTGTATACACACATCACAGTGTTTTTTTTAATTTTTTTTCCAGCATCAACGATCAGTGCACCGCGCCATGCGCAGCGCACCTCACATATGCGCCACAAGTATGATATGTTGTCTTTATTTCCTTTTCCTTTTATAGTAATTTTCATACTTGCAGCGCACTTCAGCGGTGCGCTGTGCGCCATGCGCTCACGGGGGATGTGTGCTCACATGCGCACTGTGCACACGGGCAGTGCGCTGGAGTATGCCCGAGTGGCCCCCATGGGTGCGCACCTGCGGATGTGCCCTTTTTTTTTGTGAGTGTGTGTGTGTGTACCGTTGATACAGGCGTTTTGTCTGGTGTGCCACGATGCCCTTCTCCTTAAACTATCGGATCGAACAAAACGCCTGTATCAACGGACACTGGATTCTCGATGGAGGGTGTTCTGTTCAGCCCTATTACTTGCAGCCCTGATGGAGGGTGTTTTGTTCAGCCCGATTACTTCAGACAGAGGCACTATAAGGAAAATGTGTAGTTGAGCGAGGCCCTACGGATTCTGGCAGCAGGTAAGTTGTAATAGGGCCTCGCTCTACTACTCTCCAATTTGTGCAAAATCAGAATTAATCTTTCGCTAGAACAATGGAAAGATACACCGCCATATTTTTTGTTTTTTGTGCGTGTATATAGCGACTGTATGTTGCCACGTTCTAGGTTTCAACTTTTTTTTTTTTTTTTTAAATTTAAATTTGGACCATTTCTCGATTTATGCGTGTCATCCTTGAAAGCGCAGGGGCCATGCTAATCTTCTCTGTATCGTTCCAATTTTAACGGATGTCCCGAAGGACGGTTTCAACTTTTCAAGGATGTTCATTGTTCTCTCTCTTTTTTTTTTTAATAGCAAAAAGCACCAAGGAAACACAACTGTCAGTTCTGTCGTTTTCTATCTCTGGAAGTAGACAGCAACCGCCCGACAGACGTGTCCTCATTATGACTGTATTGGACCTCGGAAACGACTCAGATACACTGAAGATAGCAAATATGACAACACAGTTTTTGGGGCAGCGCGGCCTTGAAAAAAAATTGTGTGTGCGATGTCCTAATTTTGGCTGGGCGTGGGAACTTCGCTTTGACCCCTCCCCGACTTTTTTTTTTGTTGGGCTGACCCTGAATTTTGCCCATGCGGCGCACCGGATACGCACGCCACGTGCGCAATGCGCAATGCGCCACATGTGCGCGGGTGGCGTGCAAGGGATGTGCGCAAGTATTGAGTTTTATTCTAAGCCACTTATTTATTTGCGAAGAAGGTTGTGCTACTCGCGTACTAGAAGTGTTTGAAACACAGAAAAGTGTATGGCTACAGAGACCTTTCTGTGTTTCAAACACGTCTAGTAAGTGAGTACCACAATGCCACAACCTTCTTTGCAAATAAATAAATTGAATGGAACATAATTCGAAAGCCGATGTCTTTCCAGTACGAGTGATGCGGGAGGGTCAGGACTTCCAAGGTTTTTCTTCCCCAAACGCCGATACAGGAACTGGCTATCGACCCCGGGGAATGGAAATGGCAGGCGGCCCGAGGGGCAGCAGCGGCAACGGGTAAAAAAATACACCTAAACACTATGTCTGTCAGAACCATGTATAGGATGCTTAGGCCCAAAAGAGTATTAAGGGACCGAATCGATGATAGATGGGCCCAGCACCTGAATGTGGATCGCTCTCTTCTCACACCCATTAAGTGGTTTAATGGAATGAAAACCAGGCCAGCAAAAAACACGTCATTGCAATGGCAGATTGCCCATCGTTGCTTGCCGACAAATGCCTGGCTGATCGACCGCACGCACTTGGAACAAAAGGGGAAAGCACATCCATGGTGCCAGCGATGCTTGACCGCATTCCCAATGCAAAAAAGGAACAAAACTATAGAACACGTCTTGATGCAATGCCCGGTGGCAGTGCTGACGTGGCGATGGTGGGACCGGATTTGGAGGAAAGTGACACCTGACTTTCCCTGGCCATGGTCTTGGCAAGCCATACTGGCTGGACACTGTCCGGCAATGGACAGCGCCCCCTCCTATGTGAGTAACCTGTTTAGTTTGGGTAGACGGTCGGTCATCGGGGCACTTTGGTGGCAGTGCTGCCATCTTGTCTTAGAGGGGGTCAAGATCGAGGGCCCTGAACTGACAGGGCAGATAAAGGAACTAGTGCAATTGGAACTGACACGTAGGTGGAGTGACCTTAAGCTGCAGTTAGACATTTTTCAGACAGACCGGGACTTAAAGAGGGCGACTACGGAGTTCTGTATGGATTTGGTTGGGCGGGCAACGGGGTGGATGGATGGGACGGATTGTGGACAGGGAATAGGGCCGCTGCGTCTGAGAAAGAAACAGAGGAAGAAATCCCAAGGGATTACACACTCCTCTTCAATAACTGGACCCACATTGATCCAACCTTCCCAATGAGGCCCCCGTCTGATTTCCCGGATCCGTTCCCCCCTCACCCCCTGGCCCTGATGGAAGTTCTGACATGACTCAGATACAAGAGGGTGACAAGACAAGATCACGACAAGATTGCAACAAGGCTGGACCAGACTGGACCAGATGAGCCTGAGATAAGCCTCCCCGGTGCCCCCCGGGTGTTGCTTGTCGACGGCTCCCCCAAAATCATCAGAAGTTGGTATATTCATCTCTGGAAGGCAGTATTCAGCAGATATAGTCAAAGATAGGGGGAGGGAGGAACCAGTGTGTAGCAGCAGGTATCTGGCGCCGGGTTCAGGGCGAAGAGGTTCCCCCTTTATCCTGCTCAGTCAATCCCCTGGATTCCAGGGTAATCAATGCTGGCAGGAACCTCCCACATTGTTTTTCGGATGTACTCCAATTTCAGTCTGTATATGGGACGCTGGACCCGTTTTCCAGCAGGTGATGCTCCCCACCAATAGATGGAGCCCCTCCCCAAGTGCTAGTGGTGTCTGCTCTTATCCGCACCACTAACACTGGCGGGGGTTCAAAAAAAA